CCAAGTGTACAAAGACTGCCCGCTAGAAGTCTGTGAAGGGCAACCTCAACCCTATTTCCTTGAAGATGTACTCGTACATGGGAAACCTTTCCCCGTATGATGAGCAGATGCGATCATCCTCCATAGGGAAGTGGAACCTCCACTCTCCCTCGGCCCCCACTATGGTGAAAACGTCCTCGATATATGAGGAAAAGAGTGAGGCGTGCTTCATCGGTTCGACCACAAATCACCCTTAAGCAGAGGTCCTCACAGCGGACACCCCTCCAGCATCAGGAGGTGTGGAATCATCATCAGTTTCAGTTTCCTCCGAGGAGCTATCCTTGGATAGGTCCCTAAGAGGCTCTTCTTCAGCCCTGTGCGACATTTCCTTTACCTGAAAAGCAGAGGATAAAAGTGAATTTGGTGACAAAATCAAATCTATCCTTCCACTGCTAGTCAAGTGAAAGGGTGTGCGAAAGGCCAATGACAACCTCCCCGGCCTAAGCCCTACGTAAATGGCACAACTAGCAAATGAGGAAATGCCCGGAAGATCTCCCTGGCACGTCCGGGGAAAATTCCCTCGCCCACAAAACCCAGAACCTTCAAGAGGAAACCACCAGAAAGCTCATAAGCACGTCGGAATATGTGGTTCCCTCCAACGACGAACGCCACTGTATCGCTATGATATCAGGATCAACTAAAAACTTGCAAGTTGTTAATTCCTAAAATCTTGACAGTCACTACGGCATCGGCAGCAGAGAAAGAAGCCGAACCATTGTCTGCCACCAACAGCCACTAGAAAATGCCCTAAAAACTACTTTATAGCAATCCTAACTGCATGCAATCTATGGTACAGAAATCAGCAAAACAAATAACAAGCAGGGAATTAACATACTTACGTGGTCGGGGATGAAATTTCTAGGTCTAAATGGCTCTAGATGGTGCTTGTACGGTGGTTAGATGGAGCTTGTACGATGGTCAAATGGAGCTTACGACGTCTGACGGCTAGAAACAGAAAACAAAAGACAATGGAAGAGAGAGAAGTGAAAGTGCAAATGAGCAGACTCTCACTCTATTTATAGGCAATTCCAGGCACGTGCATGAGCACGCGCGACTAGGGGCATCATTGTGACCCTAGCTTAGCCATCATTGCGCATTAAATACATCACACAGTTCGAGGTACACATGGCACCTCACCTCTTTAGATCCCATCAATCGTTGATCTCCCCGTACTGCAAGCTCCCCGACAAGCAGCGTAATAGATGCTTGGGCACAGTTTCATTCAAGCACAAGGTGACCACCCCATCTCTGTGGTTAGCGATGACCTTGCTCGGGAGCAACGCTTTAGGGGCTACTGTTCTGGATTGGCTCAATGACTAGGCATGGCCCAATCCACATCTGCTCCTAAAACGACCCAATTGCCTAAGTCCACCCAATTTGGGGAGCATTTACCTTTCTTCCCCTCTAACAAGGGAGACTGACCAATTTATCCTTGGTCGCAGCACTTCTCATCGGCAGTTCTTGCCCGTCACGCACGGTTCTATCCTCCAGAAATAATCAAGACGCTTGTACTCGTAACTACGCCCTTGCCCGTAGCAACGACTAGTTATGGGCACCTCTGCCTGTTCCAACGACTAGTTCTGGCAGTTACCTATTCTTCGAGAAACGATTATCTCGCCCCGAAAATAGGGACCAATGGCCAAGCGCTGAGGGTACTATAAAAACCCTCTCACTTGAGAGGGCCAAATATCCAATATTCACCCTGATATACTCATATTTTGTTCTTGCTCTCTCTCTCTCTCTTGCCCGATTCTTACTTTAGCATCGGAGTGCCTTGCAGGTACACCATCTCTTCCTCTCTCTCACACCCAGCATCACATGTATTTTTCTTTGGCCCACTTCAGATTCTGATCAGCCGTCAAGATCAGAAAGATTTATCATCAAATTTTTAAGTTTCATTGTGCAACAAACAAACAAACCGACTACTTATACCTTTGAATCAAATAAAATCAACTCCAAGTGTTATTTGTTTGAGGAACTTGTCACATTCCAAATATGTTTACAATGAACAACAATCCTTCAAAAATCCTTTGAGTGTTAATGTCCCTCACCGCTTCAATTGGGCGCGCCATTGGTTGTTTGAATGATGTAACAACAACACATGAAATGTTCAAGAAAGTGAAAGATCAAAACATATAATTAATTCTAAGGAAGCACAAAAAAATTAAAGATGCATATGTGGATGAGTTAACAAACAAAAAAGGAAAAACGAAGAACAAACGATGAAGGAGATGAAGAATCAATGAGATGAAGAAGCACGACTGTGGAGGAGCAGAGAGAATGAGTATCTACATGTAATTTTAAAGGTTTAAGCAATGATAGTAAACCATTAGAACTTATGCGGATTTTCATTTTCCAATCTAGATTCCAACAGTTTAGATATTGTTATTAGTAAAACTTTTACAACAAAATTACAAGAATGATCAATAAACTGATAGAAATTAAATTAAATGATCATTTATGCATAAATAATACAAGAAAGGATTCCGTCCCAATCTTTGAGTCTATGCTTTAGAATCAATGGTTAAGACCACATTGATGAATCATTGACTATATGAATGAATTAGATCAAATCTAAAATGTTTAATTACAATTTTGGTCCCTCTATTTTGTCTTTTTTTGAGTTTTGGTCCCTTCATTTAAAAAACTACTATTTTAGTCCCTTTTTTAAGTTTTGTGTTTGATTTTAGTCCCCTTTTTAATTTGGGAATTATTTTTAATGATGTGGCACTAGTTTGCTGATTGGTAAATCCAAATCATTTTAAAATTAATTTAAATTCTTTTTTAATAATAATAATAATAATAATAATAATAATAATAATAATAATAATAATAATAATAATAATAATAATAATAATAATAATAATAATAATAATAATAATAATAATAATAATAATAATAATAATAATAATCAACTTAGAAGAAAATTAACGTGAAAATGTCCAAATTAATAAACCCAAACAAGAATATATATACCTATATATAAAGGGAAAACATGATTTTAGTGTAGCTTTTTTTTCTTCCAAATATACTCTTTTTCAGTTTTTATTTTAAATCTTAACTTCTCTTTTTAACAAATGATAATTATGTGATGATTTATCATCTTTTATATTATTATCTACTACTATTATTTTAAAAATAATAAATAATAAAATGAAAATTAATTAAAAATAATAATATAATTTATATTTTACACGTGGGTGACCGTCTGAACGTTAATAATAATAAAATCAATCACGTGTCCGTCTAGACGCTAGTAATAATAAAATCAACTTAATAATATAATAATAACTTAATCAAACATAAACAAACCCAGTACTCTAACATTAAAATTAAAGTGAAAATATATTTTTTCCCTTTCTTCTCTCCTTAATCAACCTAGATGAAAAACTCTAACAATATCAAATCTCCAAATTAGAAAATATGCAAATTCAACTCTAGATTTTCTTCATTCTCCAAACATAAATCATTGAAATGAACCATTCAAAATCCATCTACTCACATCATCTTCGGAGTGAAATGTAGGGTTTCAATTTCAATTACAATTTCAAATGGAATGAAATTGTTGTTATTATTATTGAAGTTCTAGAGAAAACAAACTCTAGAGAAACCCAAATTTTCTTCATTTTCATTTTATTTCTCTAATAAAAGTGGAAAGGAAATTAGAAATTTTGGAAAGGATGGATGAGTTTCTCTCTCACACTTTTTGGAGATTTTGGAAAAAATGAAAATTAACTGATTTGATTTATAAAGATTTGTGGAAAAAAATATGAAAATGTGAAATTGACATGGCATGACAATTTGGATAAATTATAAAGATTTGATTTTATTATAGGTTCTATTTTTGTGTTCCTAATGTTGTTGCAGGTTTTATAACATGACAATTTGAGGAAGAAGTTGCAATGATGGAGTTAGGGTTTTAGAATTGGGGAAGGAGATAAGAATTTGGAAAATTGGTATTATTAATTAAATATGTTATTATTAATAAATTATTTTTTTAATATTATTAACATAATTTTAAACTTAAATAAATGACATGGAATAAAATTTGGTAAAGGTGGCATGACACGTCATCATGTTCAGTGCCATGTCATTAAAATTTGGTCTCAAATTGAAAAGGACTAAAATTAAACACAAAACTTAAAAAGGGACCAAAATCGTAATTTTTAAAATGGAGATAAAACTAAAAAAAATACAAAATAGAAGGATTAAAATTGCAATTAAGCCAACCTAAAATAAATACAACATCATTTTATTTATCCAATTCCCCGACCATTACACATTATATCTATAATTTAATTTGTATATACTGACCGTACAAAATTATTTTATACTGTCAACCAATCATTCTCATGTATCTCACCACATCATCCTGTAAATTTAAAGTTAAAGTTAATTATATGACATGACAAATTGATAAATTCTTATTAGATGATAGTATAAAATTATTTTATATTATTGATGCATATCAATTAAACTTTTATATCTAATAATATCGAATGTAAAGAAATTTATTGGACAAAACTCTAGTTATACATAAAAGAGATAAAATCTAAAATAAATTTATATAATACTACATTATTCGCTTTAAAATTAATTTGGAAAAAATGGAGATGCATCGACAGTATAAATACTATCGACTAATGACAACTATGTATCACGTCAAATTATATTAAATTTTTTAAATTAATTATGTAAATTACAGAATAATATATTTCTATTACATAATAATATATTTCTATTAAATCACTGTTTTAGATTTAATATAAAATAAAATATGATAGCATATATGGTTAGTCTTATAAAATATCAAATTTAAATTGTCTAAATGATTAAAGTGTTCTGATACGAAGTTATGAAATCACGACAAAGCCCTAATTTTTTTTTTACCCCAAACCGAAAAGGGGATTTTTCTAATTCTTAATTTCAAGTTCTAGCCATTTTTCCTATCCAGCAATGCGATGGATTCCAACAACAAATCTTCCGATCAAGTAATTTCAGAATTGGTTGAAATGGGTTTTGAGCATTCCACCATTCTCGAAGCCATTAAAGTAGTGGGTCTATCGATTCCAAGCGTTGTGGAGCATATCTTCAATAGTAATACTAGTACCAGTAAAAGCAGTGACCGTGAACCATCAACTAGTAATGGGAATGCTCTCAAAAAACGAACCTTTTCATCTTCCTTTCAAGTTCCAAAGCCTAGAACAATCAATCAGTATTTTCAATCCACTGATAAAGGCAATGAGAAAAAGAAAAATGCTATTGTTGTTGTTGATGATGATGATGATGATGTGGAAGAGTATAAGGAGGCTTTACCTCGAATGGGAATTGATATTGATTGCAGTGTGCCTCGAGATTTGGATGTTTCGTCGGATTGGGAGCAAAGAGCGGGCATTTTGTTGCAAAAACATTTTGGTTTTTCAGCCTTGAAAAGTTTTCAGAAGGAAGCTCTCTCTGCTTGGATTGCTCATAAAGACTGTCTTGTCCTGGCTGCAACTGGATCTGGTTTTGTTCTTTATCTTTACAGAAATGTTATTAGAACTCTGATTTGAAACAAGAAAATCCGACAATTTTTTTAAAATGGTTAACACAGTTCACTGAGTAGTTAATGGGCATATCAGGAGGTAACCGCCAATTGAACCTTAGCCATAATTTTAGGTGTTTCAGCTACATGTTAATTTTAGCACTTCAAAATATAGGTTAATCACATTTATATTTGTGGTTAATAAGTTGCAAATCACTTGTTGAATTGTGTTGACCATGTGTGAGAACTGTGTTAATCTTTTAGAAGTTGTCCAATTTTGTTGTCCTTATTTAAATCTAAATATAATTTCTGCTATCTTTATTTGTTCATACTTGTGTTCTGTGTAGTAGCTGTTGTGCATCCATTCATAGTGTTAATTTTTGGCAGGGAAATCTCTGTGCTTTCAGATTCCGGCTTTGTTAACTGGGAAAGTGGTGGTTGTGATTTCGCCTTTAATAAGCCTAATGCATGATCAATGCTTAAAGCTAACAAAACATGGAATCAGTGCCTGTTTTCTTGGATCTGGGCAGCCTGATAATACTGTTGAAAAGAAAGCAATGAGAGGCATGTATAATATAGTGTATGTTTGCCCAGAGACAGTCCTAAGGTATGGTTAATGCCTTTGGGGCCTTGAAGCTTGTCTGTGTCTTAGAAATCTTCGTTTTTCTGTCTTTTTGTTCTTCTTATGTTTGGTAATTGCAATACAATTCAATGTAGATTGATTCAACCTCTGCAGAAGCTTGCAGAAAGCCGTGGTATAGCTTTGTTTGCAATTGATGAGGTACATTGTGTTTCCAAATGGGGTCATGATTTCCGTCCTGCTTACAGGTCTGTTACTTTTATCCCTTTCTATTTATTCACTGTTTATGCATCAATTAGCATGCATACAACTTCTTAAATAATCACAGCTTGTGATTTGTGTGTTCAATTTTATTAAAGAAACTAAGTTCAATTGTCGTTGATTATTTGATTATCAAATATATTACTTTTCTTCTTTGGTTTTGCATAGTTCTCAATTTCCTAGTGTATTTATTCTACTGTTGTTAGTATGATATATTTTTAATGTCTTCTCTTGTTTCAGCCGACTATCTGCATTGAGGGAAAATTTCACTACTGGCAAGCTAAAATCCCTGAAATTTGATATACCTCTAATGGCATTGACAGCTACAGCTACAAAGAGAGTTCAAGAAGACATTTTAAAATCTCTACGCATGTCAAAAGATACAAATGTTGTTCTCACATCATTTTTTCGACCTAATTTACGCTTCACGGTGAGTTTGTTGATGACGATTTGTACACTTATCTTTCTTGTGACTCATAACACATCAAATTCACTGTGCTTCATACAGGTAAAGAATAGTAGAACATCATGGGCTTCTTATGAGAAAGATTTTCATGAGCTGATTAAAGTATATGGTGGAAACAATAAAAATGGTGGAAATAAAAAAGCTTTCACCTCAGATGATAGAGATGGTGTTTCCATTTGCTCTGATTCTGGTGGAATGTCTGATACAGACAGTATTTCTTCTTATGATGTGGACGGCGACCAAGATGACTATGATGATGAAGATATTAATGCAATGCACTCACAAAACACCGGCAATCATAAGAAAAGAAGAAAATTGACAGTTGAGTTCCTGGAAAATGATGTTGATGTCTTTCAATGTGCGGATGACTTGGATGGTACTGATTTTCTGCTATCTCTCAGTTTATTACAAATAATTGATCATATTTAGTCTAGAAACTGAAAGCAATTTCTGTATTAGTGGTAACATCTAACCTAATTGTATGTATTGGTTCTTTTTAGTTACATGTGGCGAATTTTGTATGCAACCTCCTCCCAAGCAATGTGAGTTATCTGAGACAATTGACCCACCTATAAAACCAGAAAAAAGACTCAAAATGCTTAAGGAGCCTTTGGGACAAGGACCTACAATTATATATGTACCCACCAGAAAAGAAACAGTGAAAATTGCTAAGTTTCTATGCAAATCTGGCGTGAAGGCTGCTGCTTATAATGCTGGGGTATGCATTATAGTTATATTCAAGCTTGTTTAATTAGATGTGTCTTTACATTTTTAATGAATCGGGATGATCATGTCTTAACAAGAGAGTCTTCAATTCTATGACACAGTGTGAAGTACTAGGAAGCAGAAGAGTTTAAAACTTGTTATAACATATTATTCTTTCAGTTATTTTAAAATATTCTAGCATGCTCCACTGTAGATTTCATCGAACCAAGCTCTATACTTCTTTTTACATTTTGATATAAGAAATGTTTGCTGCACATTCTCTTCCAGCTGCCGAAGTTGCATCTAAGAAGGACTCATAAAGAGTTTCATGAAAATACTTTAGAGGTATGGATCTGAATCCTGAACAGAATATTCTAGACGTCTCAGTTCAATATTATCAACACAACTACTTTTATTTGAATTTGCATTGCCAATTATCAGTTTTTGTATGTCATCTTTTAATACCTAAATTTGATATGCTGGATTCAGAAATTTAGGTTACACCTGTTGTGCTTTTATCATCTTCAGGTTGTTGTTGCAACAATAGCATTTGGAATGGGAATTGACAAACCGAATGTTAGAAGAATCATTCACTATGGTTGGCCGCAGGTCTTTTCTTCAAATAAAATTTTTCCTGACATACTCGATTATAGATCAAGTTTATCTGTATTTTCTTGTTCATTCCATGTTTTATACTATCACTTCCTAAGTTGCAAAATATTTTTCATTAGGATCTACCTCAATTAATTATTAATTATATATGTAATTTTCTTAGAGTTTGGAAGCCTACTATCAAGAAGCTGGACGGGCTGGTCGAGATGGGAAATTAGCAGATTGCAGTAAGTTTAGTTATACTGGATTATGATTTTTACCTTGTGATGTAGTTTTTCCTCTCCTTCTCGTCATTCTCTTTTGAATTTTGAACTTATGTTGTTCCTTTGATTCACATAATAAGTAGGTTGCTAATTATTTTATTCTTTTGCTCTTGTATTTGTCCCCTCATTTTCAACCAGTTCTATATGCAAACCTAGCAAGGAAGCCATCACTTTTGCCAAGTCGTAGAAGTGAAGAAATGATAAAGCAAGCGCATATCATGTTGTCTGATTGTTTCAGGTTTGCTATGATGAATATATCTTTTTCTTGTTTTTGGATTTTACGTTAGTACTAAATTTTATTGTCTGTGTGCAGATATGGAATGAATATTTCATGTTGTCGAGCAAAGACACTTGTAGAATACTTCGGAGAGGATTTCAGCCATCAGAAATGTCTCTTGTATGTGAAGTTTGGTCTCAATGCCTTGCTGTTTTATTATGTTTAACAGTTTAAGCATTGGTTAAAGTGAAAATATATTCTAAAATAAGAGAAACTTGAAATCATTTACGTATTTTAAATTCAAAATAGCCTGTATCGAATGAATTACCTTGTTTATCGCATTAGCTTATCTATTTTTTTCTGCAATCAAATGATTCTTTTGTGGCTGTATTTACTTGTAGTGTGTTAAGTTTAGTAATTTATTAATTCGTGTTAGCTTTTACAGTCATTTTTATTTTCACGATGAACCTCCTTTCATGCAGATGTGATGTGTGCACTAATGGACCACCTCAAAGGAAGAATCTAATAGAGGAAGCTTGTATTTTACTGCAAACTATAGGGTCCCATAATGTATGTCGAATACTTTAGTTTCATATTTATATTATACCGACTACACTTGTATGTGTGTCTTATATGTAATTGTAGTGCATGGTCCAATGATTGCATTTTCTATGTTACATGGTAAGAGGAAAGAAACTGATGTGTCGCGGACGCTAATTTTTCAGGCACGTAACTATTCCATGGATTCCTCATATAATGATGATATCCATTTTGATTCCAAGGATAGAAGACTAGGAGAGAGGCCAAGTCTTATGACGTTAGTTAGAAATATAAGGGAGCAGGTAAACCTACGTATAATTATCAGCTCACACTGAGTCGTTGTTATGGTGAATGCCCGATACTGTTACTAATTTATGTACCAAATTTTAATTTGCTTCCATATTTGATGACCATATGCAGTTTCAAAAATTTGTAACAACTGATATATTATGGTGGAGAGGCCTTACCCGAATTTTGGAAGCTAAAGGATATATCAGGGAAGGAGATAACAAGGTATACTCACTTCAACAAATAGTTTGACCTATGAAATCGCTTGTTTATAACTTTAATTGTTGAAAGTGTTGGATTTGTTACCATTAAGAAATTGTATAAACATTTGCGCAGTGACCCTACATGGAGGTAATTTAACATGCCGATCTTTATCTGCACATATGAAGTCTTGTTCCATGCGCGTTGGTAATTCAACTGCGATCTGACTTCAAGTTTTCCACTGTCCAATTGCAGACCAATGTTCAGATAAAATACCCGGAACTAACAGAACTAGGTTTGGAATTTGTGAAGTCCATGACTGAAGAAACTTTCTATGTTTATCCTGAGGCAGACATGTTGCTTGAAACAAAAACTGACAAACCATTTTCCTCATTCTCAGAATGGGGAAAAGGTTGGGCTGATCCTGAGATCCGTCGCCAGCGCCTAGAAAGAATGCAACATGATAGAAGTCCAACGAAGCGGCAAAGTCCCGGAAAGCGAAGAAAGAGGAAAGGTAGAAAAGCAAAACCTGATTTGAGGACTTCTCGAGGTAGACTAACCGCAAAGCTTTCAAAACTTAAGTGACAAGCAACATTTTTCTTTCTTTGTTTTATTTGTGCTCCCGCCTTGGTTTGAAACTAATCAAAACAACCTCTTGTGATGTCTTTGAGAAGAAATGTAGTAACCCCAAATCGAAGCAAAGTATAAAATTTTGCATTGTTTTACTCATATATTCATCAAGCATAAACATAACGTGTGATGGACATTGGCAATATCGTTTTTGCCATAATAGGCTTCTCTGCATCGTTCATATTTTGTGTGCCAAGCCTCAAGACATGGCAAAGAAAGCAAATGGCTTTGGAAAAACTAAAAATCATCAGGGAAGCTTTGGAAGAAGCTGAAGAAAGAGTAGTGAGATTCCAAGAAAGGCATGATCGAATATTGAATCACATAAGCGCGTCTTACTTGACGAATGCAGAGGCTGTCGAGGCATTAGCGGGTGCTCGACGAAACATGAACCAGGCATTGGAATTTGCTGTTGAATTGAGGTCGATTCAGTTTAAAACCATTAGCTCTTTCCCAAATGCAGTCCATATCGTTAATGGTGCATCCGATACAGGTCCAATAAGAGGTGCTTGAATTGCTATTTTTTTTCAATGTTTGGTTTAAGATCATTTGATTGTGATGTTCGATAGATTTTCGTGTTTAGTTTTTCACATTTTCCTGACGTATCTAGTCAAGAATATCCGTCAAGCTCCTATGGCAGCCATACTTCCAAAAGCAAAAGGTCTATTTTAATGCTATTTTGTGATTATTTGAGATAAATTGTGAAATACTTAATTGGTTTAAAGACATTTTTATTAATCTATTTTGACTAAATAATTTTGTTTAGTCCCTCCACTTCTAGATCTAACATCCTATTCTTCTTCATAAATCCAAAATTTTCTTCCTTCTGAAAATCATAGCCATAGTCAAATTCAAGCCTTTCTGCATAATCTTCATCAAACTTTCTTCATACTCAAACCTTCAATTAAGTTTACATGATAGATAACCACAACAACGCCACATCCCCCAATGACCATCAACCTTAAATTATTTCATCTCTCCAAAAAAAAGAAGTGAAGTTTTTAGATTTAGAAATTAATAAGTTGCCAACTACGATTTATACATTTAAGAAATTTTACAACAAAATTCTCATTTTAAAATACTTTGTTTGTAGTTCTCGTGTGATTTACAATGTGAATAAATCGTTTTTGTATATTATAAATGTTTTTTTAAAAGTTTTATTCTAAAGAGTTCGTACTCATGGACTAATGTGTTTGTCCTAATCTTTTTTTTCAAAGATATTTCTTCATGAATAATTTGAAGAGTGTACCACATTTCTTTTACAGTCTCGTGGTGAGAAATACACAAAAACTCATAAAGACCAAGAACAATAGTGTTGATAGTTTTAATTTTTAAATTGTGTTGCACTTTTTCTTTTTCTTCTTTCGTCCAATCATTTGTATCTCTGTTAACCAGTACATCATTAACTTGATGTGTGAGAACAAGTAGATCATATTTCACAACTTTCCAAATATCATAATCTATTTCCTCTATGAAGATTCTCATCTTCTCTTTTCACATAGCATACCCTTCTCCATTGAAGCACGAACACATGTTTAGTAAATCGTTTAAAGACATTCCTTCCTCTTAGGATGATTAGTCTTATAACATAAGTTAGACACTAATGCCATTTGTTGACTAAATAACTCCAAACACAAGAGGATAAGAGAGGTCGATTGTGATATTCAAATTCATGATTAATTAAAAATGTTTTTTTTTAAACTTTTAAAATCGTTTATGTTTAAAATAAAAATTAGATAGAAAAAGAGATGGAGGTGAAGAGAGATAGAAAATAAAATAATCAACATAAATTAAAGCGAGAAGAGTTTAGAGAGAGTGCACTAGATATTTATACAGGTTCGACCTAACCATTTCGCCTATTTATGTCTCAAATAGTTTGCTCTTGAGAGTTCCACTAAAATCATACTTGACCTTTTGCAGGATCAGCCCACGAACCTTCAATAATCAAACAAAGTTTTTACACAGACTGAGCTCAAAAATTTTCACACAAACATTTTTTAAGTTTAGCTTACAAACTTTAAGTATTTTACAAATATAATTAACAAGGAAATCACACTTTTAAATAAAACAATTTAATCGAAACATCAATTCCAACACAAATCTCACAAGGATGTTTCAGTCTTTTAACATCACAAAAATTCTCGTGAAAAGCAAATATAAAATAATGAGAGTATCAGAAAGATAGAAGGATTTCTATTGTAAAATGAAATAAGGAAAAACCTTTTTTATATATAAAAAATTTTGGTTCAAAAAAGAAAATTATCAATGGGCCATTTTAATGACTTAATTGATTAAACCTAACTAATAATCAATTAAGAGCTTTTTATTCCAAATAAATCTTTAAAGGCTACATGGTTTAATCGATTAAAAGCTTTTCTAATCGATTAAGAGTTTATTTATCTTGCTCTAATCGATTGTGCTAAATTCTTAATCGATTAGAAAGATTAAAAACTTTTTCAATTGATTAGAAATACTTCTTAATCAGTTTCATTCATGCCTTCGATAAGTTCTCAAGAATTTTTATGAGATTAGAGAGGGTTTTGAAAAAAAAATTGTATTAGAGAGGGTTTTGAAGAAAAAAAATTTGCATGTGCATATTACTTTAATACTTCAAGAGTTTCTCTTAACCTTTTATATTTTAACTGATCACTCTAAGACTCTAAGCGCATGATCAGACAAGGTTTTACACTTTCTCTCTTTCATACTCTGAGAAGCTCTACTTGATTCAACAACTTGATCAACACTTCAATTGGATTCTTGAACTGTATGACTGATAAAGCTTGAGATATCTTCTTGATTATGTGCCATCATTATGAGCTTTACTTGACAATTAAAATCAACTTTCTCTATCACAAAGAACTCTCAACATCCAGAGTTAATTTCACTTATGGAGTTGATATTTGATGTGGATCGCGAGCGTGACACTAACGTGCCTGTCGAATAATGACAACAAATATACAATTGTTCGCGTAGTTTTAAAAAGGTTGTCGATCCCACTAAGAAGTGATAATCAAACTAATGTTGTCTATTGTTGCAGTGTAAAGTTAAGGCTAAAGATTCAACAGATTCGAAACGGAAAGGAAAGATACAAAATTCTAAAGGTTTGAAATAGTAATAAAACGAGTCCAAAATATGGATTCCGCGTGCCTAAAGGACTTGTAGAAATCAGGTGCTAATTACGAGTGAACTCGGTTTCGTAGAAAATACTAACTTAAAGACTCCATCTCACACTCTCGCGCTATCGACAAGAAACACACTTTTCAACCATAGGGTTTTGCTCTTGCTCGCCCGTTTCAATTAAAAAGCATATTTTGAAAGTTAATAAAATTCTAAACGATTCCTAAAGTGCTATCGTTGTTTTTAGGATCAATGTCTAGTTTCCAATATCAATTCATTCCTCACACTCTCGCGTTATCGATTCGAACTTAGTTTATTCCTCACTTTCGTGTCAAAATGATAAAACATGAAAACTTGGAAACATAAACCAAAACCAACATTCAATCAATAATTTCGTACCTAAAGTTTTTTACGGAGTCCCGTCGGTAACGACGATCCTCATACGCCGAACTCAATTTGAACATGTTAATGGTAATTGAATTCAAAACTAACATTGCAGACAAAATTAAAGTAAATACGAATGCAATAGTAAAAACAAGAAATAAACCTGTAGAGTAAAACATCAAATTTGAATTGAAATTTTTGCCAGCAGGCTTGTTCGTAATCCGACAGTACAACAGTTAAAAGAAAAATAAAAATAAAAGGTGAACAATTCCTCGATGTGAGTAATTGTCGCTTTACAAGTGAATTTATGCCTAAGATTCTAAACAAAATTCTGCAGCGCTTCCGCACGATTTTGGGGTGTCTGGAAAGTGACCAAGGAGTCCTATATATTGAGGAAATGAAGGCTCCAACTGTTCTGGATGTGGCCTGTGAGTGGAGGGAAAAGGGGAAAAAGAGAACTGCTCTGCAACGGTTGTTGAAATTGAAAACTGCTACTACGTTGCCATGGCGAACGCCATTAGGTCATGGTGAACACCATGCCTTCCATTCATTAAATTACATGGCATGCTGATGGATGGAAAACGCCATCTAGCTATGGCAAATACCATATCAGCAAAAGAGATAGAATTGCTTCTTTTTGCTGCATTTTCCTATTCTTCCATTCTTTTTCTAGCTCTCTTCCGATTCTGTGACGGGTGAACCTATTAACCGTAAAACACAATAAAACACAATAAAATGCAAACAAGACTCGATAAAAATGGACAAATAATATGCATAATGAGCCTAAAAATGCAATACGATTTCTCGTTATCAAACTCCCCCACACTAAGACTTTTACTTGTCCTCAAGCAAACTCCCAACACAGATGAAAACAGTAAATGCAATATCTGAAGCAATGGCACGACATTACTCTAAAACCATACACGACTACTAGGATAATGCTAAAAGGAAAGGTACTGAACATCGACAACAAGGACACCGTAATGTCACATATCCGCATTTGCGGACAAAAACTCCCCCTATGCGATACCAATCTAAATCATACCATTATGACTCGACCCGCATTCCTCGTTTCTTTTTCCCTCTTTTTTCTTCTCGTGTGATCACATTAAGCCTGTTATCCCCACATCGCATAGTAAGTGAGCCTGTTAGTGTTCTTGATCTCGTTATTCAACCTTCTTTTTTCTTTCTCTTTTTTTTTCTTTCGAATTTCAAGAATCTGGTCCATTGGGCTAAATGGCCGAGTGAGGACCACCTAACTTAGAGGGAATCAAATCTTTTCATTCTCTTTTCAAAAAAAAAAACAACTCAATTCAATTTTTTTTCGAGATCACCACATTCTTACATCGGTTCGTTACTTAGCATGTGCCATAGGATGATGTTGACCACTAATATAAACTACTCAAGGGACTACTACACAAACTCGGAAATCAAGGTCTCAGCATAGTGGTTATTTAAATCGATGCCACATACTTAGGGAATCTAGGGTGCTAAGATGGTACCGATGTTATCAAGACTTTCCCAAGTCTAATTAGCGTAGCCTAGAAGTGAAAAGTTTCATGCCATTGGATCGGAAATAATTTTTTTTCGTTGGGGTCAATTTTAGGTGAACTTTCTAACAAAAGAAAAAGATAACATACAATAGGACTCAAGGGCGCATAAAAGACTTAACACACCAAAACAAAAACAAACTGATTGGAAAACATAAAAGCAACATAAAAATGACGGAAAAGTAAAAGTAAAGTAATAAAGCTCCCCCCCCCCCCCCCCCCCCCCCACACTTGAACTAAACATTTTCATCAATGTTTTAGTACAAGGTGAAAGGAGTAGAAAACCCTGGTGGAATCAATGGTAACGATCTCGTCCGCGAGGGCGTCTGAATCCTCTGCCAATGGCAAGGTTAGGAACGTGCTGGACAAACTCTCTCAAAGACGTCACCTTCATCCTCATACCCTCCATTTGCTTAGTAAGGTTTCCTATGTCATGCTCTATCCTATCGGTGAAGTCAACCT